GCCGCCGCCGCCGCGGCCGTCACCTCGGGGGCGGCGGCCAAGTGACCCGGCCCGCTCCTCCCCGCGTCCGCCCTGTGGCCGCGCTCTCGGGTGCCTTTCCCGCCGGGAGACTCGGCCGGTGTGCTTCGTGCTGTGGTGACCGTTAGTTCTTCCTCCGGGGAGGGGGCCGCCGGAGGGGCCCCAGCGGCTTTGCCCAGCGACTTGTGTGCCGCGCGTCGTTCCGGAAGGCAGGTGGCAGTCCTTGCGCCAGCAGGGTGGGATCCGCAGCTAGGAAGACAGAGAGGAGGGAAACGGGGCCCTTTCCCCTCTATTGTATCCCCCTGCCCTCCTCCCTCCCCGCACCCACGTGCCCTACATTCATGGCAGAAAATGACCAAATCCTGTGTATTTGTTTTATATATTTAATAACTGTTTTAAATGAAAGTTTTAGTAAAAAAAAAAAAAAAATCAAATTGCTATTGCTGTAGTAAGAGAAGCTCTTTGTATCCAAACATAGTATTTGAAGTTAGTTGTTTTTTAATTTATTTAAAAGGGGAGGGGGCATGGGAAGGATTTCACACCCACATATTGTTACCGCTAAAAATGAACTTTATGAACCTTTTTCCAAGTCGATCTATCCAGTGACGTGGCCTGGTGGGCGTTTCTTGTACTAATGTGGTTTTTTTGGCTTTTAATACAGACATTTTCCTCCAGAGATGCGTATGTAGCTTTTTTCTTTATTTGATCTAGGAAAAGGAATCCAAGAATTACAAGATGTTGCCCTGGAATGTGAGGGAGGGATGCTCCAAAGTTACAGAGGGGCTAGTGGAGTCTGTCTCCCCTTGCCTGTCTAGGACAGGCAGGAGATGGAAACTATATTACTTGCCCTGATGGTAACTGTTTGAGGGCTCACCAGGCTGCCTTCCAGCAACCACCCAGCACCACCCCCCCAACCCCCCTCAGCCTCACTGACATTTGTCACGGTGGCATACAGAGTTTTATGTCATTTGTCTTTTTGTCCCCTCCCTCACAGTCTGTGAAACACCCAGTAAAATGCCAAAACAGTAAAATCAGTAATTCCCCTGAGCCAGGTATCTTTCATGGAAATGACTGGTTTTAAAAAGCATGTCGATTTCCTTTTCATGTGTGTAAGTGTCAGCCTATGAGCACATTTCAAAAGCTACTTTTAAAACCTGCGTTATTATTTTGGCATTAATAGATTTTTTTTTTTTAAGGTCAATTCCTGGTGGCTAAATAGTTCATGATCAGAAGGCTTTCCTCACTCCTGGTTTCCATGGTATAATATCTGCTGGGCAGTAGTTTCAGATTCTTCCCGGTTTTCAGAAGAAGAATAAATGAAAAGTCCTTAAATTGACTCAATATAAAAACCATTTTAGGGGCACCTGGGTGGCTCAATCGTTGGGCGTCTGCCTTCGGCTCAGGTCATGATCCCAGGGTTCTGGGATCGAGCCCCGCATCGGGCTCCCTGCTCGGCGGGAGGCCTGCTTATCTCTCTCCCACTCCCCCTGCTTGTGTTCCCTCTCTCACTGTGTCTCTCTCTCTGTTAAATAAATAAAATCTTTAAAAACAAAACAAAACAAAACCATTTTAAAAGCCTCTTAAAAAGATTTTAAAAGCTACTTTCCCTTGCTCTATTTCCTCCCCATTTTTAAGTGAATACTTGACATTGTCCTAGAGCTATAGTTCTCAGAGTGGGGTCCCTGGACCAGCAACATCAGCTGCAGCAGGGAACTGGTTAGAGACGCAAAACTGACGCCTCGTCCAGGACCAAGTGAACCAGAAACTCTGGGCAGGGCCCAGCAATCTGTGTTTTAGCCAGCACTCCAAGAGATCCTGATGCGTTTCAAGTTTGAGAACTGCTGTGCGCTAGCAGAAGGGAACCTCCAAAACACATAGCCTCCTTTTATCTTGGCATGTCTCTATGATATCAGAGATCTGAGACCCCTTTTCCACAGGAAGCTGAAGGAGAGGTTGGGTCATTGCCCTGCATCTTCAACTGCCCATCTGGCTCTTTGGAATCCAGGGCTATCTCTAGTGGAGGCCAGCCATGAGAGAGGAGGAGGGGATGGTGATGGCCCTCCCCTCCTCCCGGTCCAGACATTGAAGTTCAATGTAATGCAAACCTGCTAGCCTCGCAAGTCACGGTATACACGGTATATCTTCTTATGCTCCAAAGCAAGGTGGTTGGTGAGCTGCATTCTTTTCCAGCCCTGCGGTATCTAGCAGGAGAAAACCAATAGCTGCTAACCTTGGTCAGTTTTCATATAATCACAGTATTTGTAATTCTGGAAGGCACATTAAGTATTCCTGGTACAACACACACACTCTCACGCGCGTGCGCGCGCACACACACACACACACACACACACACACACATTCTCCCTGCTTTTTCCCAAGATAGAAACTGAGGGCCGAAGAGGTTTTAGCATTTTGTCTACAATCACACAACTACATGATCTCAGAGTCAGAGCTGAGACCAAGCCTTGGTCTTCTGCCTTCCTAATTGGTATTTTTACATCACCAAAAACTTCCTTTCCCAGAATTAGGAGCTAGCCACTCAAGGTCTGCTCCTGTGGCCACCCCCCAACCGCCCCCACCCCATCACTGTCAGATTCCATGCAGCCATATGCCCAAAGAAACCAGAGAGCATTAATTTTAAATGAGACACTCAGGCACTTAATAGAAAAAATAAATATATTTGTATGTGTATAATATTTGCACACACTATATGCATACATGCATACATACCTACGATGGGCCCTAATGAATACTTTCTTAGAGTGGGCTTGGAATATCAACATCTATTGCTGCGGGGCGCCTGGGTGGCTCAGTCGTTAAGCGTCTGCCTTCGGCTCAGGTCATGATCCCAGGGTCCTGGGATCGAGCCCCCCATCGGGTTCCCTGCTCCACAGAAAACCTGCTTCTCCCTCTCCCACTCCCCCTGCTTGTGTTCCCTCTCTCACTGTCTCTCTCTCTCTGTCAAATAAATAAAAAAAAAAAAAAAAAAAAACCTAAAAAAAAAAATATCTATTGCTGCAACAACAGACCTTCCTAAAGGGACATTTTCAGAACTGCTCATGGACCCCTCATGTATGTGTATACACACATACCTATTCTGCATATATAAAACTGATGGACTGGTTGATTCCTTTTTATGCTGACTTTGGCTGCTCTCTGGGAGCCAGAACCGCAAGCAGGAGGCTACGAAGTAAGGACGGAGCCAGTGTCCTTTTGGTCCCTGTTTAGGTGGAATTGCTCACCGGGCAGAGTCCGTCGGGCCCAGCAGGTGCAGTAGTAGGGTCTGTGGCCTCTGGCGATTTTGGCTTGCATCATCTCAGTAGTGAAACACGTCCAAGTATGCATTTTACTAAAGGCCAGTCAGTATGTGTGCGTGCGTACCAAACCCCAGGTTCCAGCCCATTCTTCAAGCCTCCTGCGGGCAGCTTTGAGCTGCTAGTGACACAGCTAAGTCCCCAGGATAAATCATCACTCCCAGTTACTTTTGCCTCTCCTGAGCTAGAGTTTACCCCTGAGGAGGATGCATACCCACCCTCCAAAATCCAGCCACTGCTGTTGGCTGCCCTACTGAGTTCTCTATGTTTATCATGC